CCGCCCCCCCGGGAGGCGCCGTCCTCACCTGGGCTGCCCTCCGTCCCTCGGAGCCCCTCGGCGCTCCATGAAGATCGGCGCATGCGCACCGCGACGCTCGCCCGCCTTCCTCACTCCCACAACTTCCGCCTTCTTCCCTCATCGCCAGCGGGGCCCGACGGGGGAGCGGAAGCCACACACACACACAAGCCCCGCCTCTCCCCGCCGGTCGCCGGAAGCTGGGCGCCTGGATGGCCTATTCTTCTGGTAGCGGCCATTTTGAGGAGAGAGAGGGGGGGGGGACCTCGGGCCTCCATCTTGAGTTTGAAAGGGCGACCGGCGAGAGCCCGGTCTCGTGTCTGGCGTTGGGTCTACGAGTGATGCTTTTAAAGATGTGGCATGTCGTACAATGGCAGAAACAGCGCTTTAGAAACAAAGCCGGAAGAGCACTTACGCAATTTCCGGTTACCGCCCTCCTGGCGAGCCGCCAACATATAAGCACGGCTTGAGCACCATCTTGAAAAGGGGCGCTGGTTTCTGCCTTTGTCAACTTCCGGTCTATGCGCTTCCTCCAGTGGGCAGTTTTGGGGTCTTTCTTTGTGGGGCGCCCAAGTAAAAATTCCAGCGTCGAAAATAGCTTCCCTTCATATGCTGCTAGTCTGTACGTTGCTCATTGTGGAGAATATTCTGCAAGTGTCACTGGAAATTAGAAGTATTCCTTCTGCTTGTGGGTGGATGCAACTCTAGACCACAACCCCCATAATTCCTTCATTCCACCCAGCACGCCCATCATCTCAGTAGTGTGAGAAAGGAAGAAGTTTAAAAATAAAACGGTCACAATTGATTAACAATAGAAGGATTAGCCAAGCCCTGCAGGTAGGCACTAGATTCCAGGAGGCTTGGCTAAAAGACACACTTAACAAGACAAAAGGATGGCAGAGAGAAGTTCTGAACAATGTAACTGAGGGGGAGGGATGATGTATTCTGGCTAGGCGGATCGGACAGATTGTGCCCCCAGAAGTCCTCTCAAATGGGACCAAGGGGAAGGGATGGGGGCGTCGCGATAGGAGTGTATATAATGATGTGAGTTTGAATATTTTGGTGTGNCAGTAGGAATTAGAATAGAATAACAGAGTTGGAAGGGACCTTGTAGGTCATCTAGTCCAATCCCTTGCTCAAGCAGGAGACCCTACAACATCATTCCTGATAGAAGGCTCTCCTGTCTCTTCTTAAAAGCCTCCAGTGATGAAGCTCCCACAACTTCTGAAGGCAACTTCTGTTCCACTGGCTGATTGTTCTCAGTGTCAGGAAATTTCTCCTTATTTCTAGGTTGAATCTCTCCTTGATCAGTTTCCATCTGTTATTCCTTGTCTGGCCTTCAGGTGCTTTGGAAAATAGGTTGACCCATCCTCTCTGTGGAAGCCCCTCAGATATTGGAAGGCTGCTATCAATAATCCTTTTTAGTAGACCAGCCATGCCCAGCTCCTGCAACCGTTCTTCATATGTTTTAGCTTCCAGTCCCCTAATCATCTTTGTTGCTCTTCTCTGCACTCTTTCCAGAATCTCTACATCTTTTTTATAGTGTGGTGACCAAAACTGGGTACGGTATTCTAGGTGTCTTACTAAGGCTTTATAGATCAGTGTTAGTACCTCGCGTGATCTTGATTGAATCCCTCTGTTAATACAACCTAGGATTGCATTGGCTTTTTTGGCTGCCGCCACACACTGTTGGCTCATGTTTAATTGATTGTCCACTAAGACTCCAAGATCCCTCTCACAGTTAACTGCTTTTAAGCTTTGTTTCACCCAATCTATATTATGGGCATTCAAGCATCCCTAAATGTGGGGGGAAATGCATGCGCAGCAAACTGCCGTGCTTCCCCCCCCCCACAAACCTCATAACCTCTTGATACCCTTTTGTCCCAATGAAGCAGCCAGAAGGTCTTACCCTTTTGACTTAATGCTTCACCTACCTAAACAGATAATATGCTTAAGTTCCTTCCTATCTCTTCCTGCCTTTGTTAGTTCATTTTGCTTTCATGTCCCTGTATTTGTTCTTACCTGATCTGTGACCATGTAATGTGTTACTAGGAAATAGATGCTTACATGAAGACATTTTCCAATGAAAAAACCTTTGTCAGCATCTAATGGTTAAGCTGGTGTTTGTAACAAGTATATAAGAAGCAATAAACTCAGTTTGTCAAGCTGTGTCCTGCAGCTTCAAACCTCTGCTCAAGACATGCCTGCATCTTTGTCTTAGCGTCATACACCTAAATTTACAGTCATTTTAATACAGAGCTTATAAATCTCATCCACTTTCTACACCCCAAATTCCTCAGCGAGCAGTGCTGGCTGAGGAATTCTGCTAATTGTTATCCACATGTAATTATCTATCTATCTATCTATCTATCTATCATCTGAATCTAATCTAATCTAATCTATCATTTGCAGAAGGGACTTGGCCTGGCTGCCTTTCCAGGGCTGGGAAGGACTGGCTCAAAGGGGCCCAGCTGGCTTTGTGTTATGACAAGACTCAAACTTGCAACTTCCTGGTTTCCAGCCCAATGCATTTAGCCACAACATTAAATTGCCCCCCATATTATTAGATTCATTATGGGCATTTATGTGTAAAAGTAGAGCTTAATTTCTTACTATTTTATATAAAAATGAACATGTAAACAAGCATTCCAATTATTGGAAAAGTTTTGCTTCTTCACTTCTTGAACAAGAAATGAAATGTTTTCAAAGGGAAAAAAAACAAAGTCCAGTTCCCTTTTGCAAAAAGTACCTTTGGGACAACCATGACCTGGATGGATGAGAATGTCCAAAGACATTCATTTTCCAATTTTAAAACTCTTAACTGGATATGAAAGCCTGAGAGGATCTGTTCATAGTTTGTCTAAGCATACAGACTAACATTTTTGCTAGTATCCTTGCCATTAAAATAGCACAAAGGAACATGCACTCAATATACATGAATTATGCTGTCAGATCCAATTACTTTCAGATCAGTCACTTTAATAACTAATAACTTGGAAAAAGAGCAATCAGACACCTAACATTTTACCAGCCAGTTCTCTTGCTTCATAACAAGATATTCTACCCTTTTAGATTACATTTCCACCCAAATAGGTGTCTTGATATGTACAATCCATACCCTTTTCTATTTTAAATATAGTACATTGTGTTCAAATAACCTGCTAATGCCACAGTTAAACCACAATTAATTGGATTATAATACAACACTCTTTTAAGGCAGTGTTTCTAACCTTGGGAACTTTAAGATATATTGGACTTCAACTCCCAGAATTCTGGAAGTTGACGTTCATGCATCTTAAAGCATGCTGGCAGGGGAATTCTGGGAGTTGAAATCCACACATCTCAAAGTTGCCAAGTTTAAAAAATACTGTTCTAAGGCACGAATAAGGTTTATTTTTGCAGCCCAGAACCTCATCAGTTTCATAATACTGAAATCTGACAGCAAGATTTGATATTGTTTTATTTTCTCTTTTAAAAATATTTTAAGGCCTTAGCTGTATTTAAACTAGGTGTGCTGAACATACCTAAGGGATGAGTTTATACTCCTTGGCTCACTGTTGTTCAGCTCTTGTCTTGCTATATTTTGGGTATCGCATAATCCCATTGTACCATAAGACTGTTTACCTGGGCCCTTGTGTGATGAGGACACAGTCATTGCATTAACAAAAAAGCCCGGTTTAGCCCCCAAAACAGAAAATGAAAGAGTAATAAATGTTGGCCCCTTCCAACATTTAGAAAGGAAATTGCTTTCCTCAATCTGAGGCTATCTCAGAGGAGAGGGAGACTTTTGGGCTACAAATACCTGCAGTCTGGAACATTTGAGCTACTTTCTCAGAAAACACAATTTTTTTCACAGTTTTGTTTAGGAGCAATATTTCTGACTCTTAATCTCTCTCCTCTCCTCAGCCCATCTTAATTTGAAATTATATACAGGTAATCCTCATTTAGCGATCACATATGGGACCTGTAACTCAGTCATTAAGTATAATGATCACTAAGTGAAACTTGAACTGATGTTAGCATTCCTCTGCTTTTCAGTACCACAAAGCAACTTAGAATCATAGACTCCAATGGTTGGAAGGGACCTTGGAGGTCTTCTGGTTCAACCCGCTGCTCAAGCAGGAGACCCTATACCTTCCTAGTTAAATGTCTTCCAATCTTTTCTTGAAAACTTCCAGTGATGGAGGATCCACAACTTCTGGAGGCAAGCCGTTCCACTGGTTGATTGTTCCCATTGTCAGGAAATTCCTCTTTAGTTCTAGATTGGATCTGTCTTTGATAAATTTCTACCCATTACTTCTTGTGACTGCAAAGAGTCACTAAACAAGATAGTCTCTAAATGGGAACTATCTGTCTGGGCACTTTATAATGCTCTTTATAGATCAGGATTTGTCAATATTTTAATACCAGTAAAAGATAAATTTGACCTTTGTATTCTAGTTTTCTTTGAACCATTATTATCATATTATTTTTGTTTGCTGAAGAGGAGACACCCTTTGGGCCCCAGGGCTTGAGGAAGGCTGGATTAGACAGATCTCTGGAAGTTCTAAGGTGTGATGTGTCATGGTGGGAGCCCCCACCAACGCAGGGTGGCCCGGATTGGCCCCACAGAAGGACAGATGGGGCTAACCAGTCACCTCTGCTCGTGGGACAATCCAAAGCAGGCTTCATCAGACACGGACAAGCGCCTTCCAATCTTGGATAAGCTGACTCTGTTCCTCAGAGGAAAGTCCTGAGAGAAAGAGGACCCTTCCTGTCCCGGGATGTGCAGACCTTCCGGGATGCTGTCAGGCAAGCCTGGAGGACAAAGCATCTTTCCCAGAAGATGAGCTTCTGGAGGTCCAGCTGGGCTTATGCAACTTAGCGGCCTTTGAGGAGACGTCAGGACAGGCTTGTGGGCAGGAGCAGTCTTCTCCATTCGGGATCTTCCATGTGAACCATCCATGTCACCATAGGAGTAGGTTTGCATTCTCTGCATGGGAGCCTGGGCCACGTGCCTCTCCTTGGCGAGGGCCACGGCCTCATCGAACGACATGCTTCCACTGTAGCGCCAGTTGCTCCAGCGCTGCTTCTGGGGAGTGACCTCCAAACCCTCCTTGGTGGATCTCTGTGCTCCAGGGAGATATCCTTTCCCTTCGTCATGTTGGCCGCTGTTCTGTTTCTCTAAACTTCCTGGTTGGAAGCCCTTCATGAGATGAAGGCTGCTGCCTCCAACCTCTCCACTCTTGGTCCACGAAAAGCATTTGTCCCGTGAAGAAGGCGGTGGCTTTGGGGTGATGTCCTCCACGTTCTTACAGTCCTTGCTGAACTTCTCCAAGCTCACAGGCATGGAATTGCGTTGCTTTGGGAGGATGTCTGAATTGCTGCAACAATTCTCAGAAGAGCTGGATGGGCCGCTAGGAGATGTTGGAAAATGTTCTGTCTTTTGGTCCAAGGTGGTCAGGTGGAAAGGCCTTTTCAAAGAGCTTTGGTTGAGTTCCTGCTTGTTCCCATTCTCACTGGTCTTAACTAGGACAGGGATGAGATGTTCCTTGCTGGGAATCACTGGCTTTAAGGAAGGAGGCAACTTGGCAAACTGGGGCTTCGGGGGCACCACTGGGAACGATTTCACTTGCTGAACTCGGGGAGTAATAGATGCCAACCTCATGTGGACGCTTCCATCCAAGAGTTCATGCTTTGGAGCATATGAAGCTTCCACTGGCAATCCAGCCTGAGGTTTCTGCAGAAGACTTTCTAGGCCAGGTTTTGGAGGAGAGGCTGTGAGGGAGAAGTCTTCAGAGTCCGTGCAACTGTCAGACAAAGATACAGAATAAGAATAAGAAGAGATATGCTCTGGATTTGGTGCTGGGAAGTTTATATTCTCAGAATTATTATCCAGTAAAGAAGGAATCAAACTTTGAAGAAAGTTGAGTTCCTCCACAGATGAAGCAGCTTCTGCAGCATCTCCATGATGCATTTCTCCTGTCTCTTGAACCACAAGTGTGTCACCTAAGGGTTTGTTACATCTTCCAACCACCTCTGGAGGAACTTCTACTCTCATGCTGCAAGGAAGATGTGAAGTGTGTTCAGTTTTAGATGTGTTCTGAGGTTGCCACTTCTCTTCAATACTTGATTTGATTGGTTGGTTTTCAGACTCTGGATCCCGAGGTATTTGGAAGATAACTTTTTCAGGAAGTCCAGTTTTTTGGACAAAGAGATCCACTCCATTTCCAACATTTCTATCTTCTATCTGCAACGATGAAATAATGGGTTCTACCTTATCATCCTCGCCATTTTTAACCCCAGATTCTGAATCCAGAGTTTTTAGGTAAGCAACTTCTTCAGGACATCCAGTTTTATGGACAAAGAGACCAACCTCACTTCCAACATTTGCATCTTCGATTTGCAGCATTGAAAAAATGGGTTCTATCTCAGCTTTGTCAGTCAGGTGGCTTTCCACCTCATTGGTGTTGCTTCTGGAATCCAATTCTATTTCATGTGGCTTGGCTAATTTTGGATCCAGGCCCTTGGTTACTAAGTCACAAGTTGAGAAGACACCTTGTTCCAGGCCAGGTTCAGGTAAATGTGAGCTCTTTGGATCTTCAACCAAGGTTTCTGAAGCCGTCCTGGAGGTCTGATCTTCCACTGTGAGTTTTGGAGAGGGGATGTGAGGAGTTTGATGTCCATCAGATTGCTGAAGATGTTCTAGTTTGCTTGCTAAGGGGCTGAGGTCATCAAAAGCACTCAGATAGATCTCCTCAACATCAACCTCCTTAGATGGCTCTTCCTCAATGAATCCCATGGCGAGATAGTACTGGTCATCTTCTCCTTCTGAATGCTCATTCATGCATTCTTCAATGGACAGGTAATCCAGGTGTGGCATTGTAGAATACATCTCCAGCTAAAGGGGGTGGAAGGAAGGAGAAAGCCTTAGAAACAAGACCTATAACTAATTTCTCAAAAATTAATAGAGAAAACATGTATTGATAATCTTCACACAGTTAATTTGAGAAAGAAAAAAATTACAGAACATCAATTTTTAACTTACGGTACACTTTCTCTTCATAAAATCAATGAGAATAATATTTGCCATTTCAGGCACTAGGTGAAAGCACTAGGCTAGAAACCGGGAGATGATGAGTTCTAGTTCTGCCTTAGGCATCAAAGCCAGCTGGGTGACTTTGGGCCAATCACTAGGAGAAAATGAGTTCTAGTTCTGCCTTAGCCATGAAAGCCAACTGGGAGGCATTGGGCCAGTTGGTTTCTCTCAGCGCAAGCCAACTCATAGGATTGTTGTGGGGAAAACAGGAGGAGGAAAGCAACAAGAAGGAAAGCTACCACAAGGATACAAAGTGAGAAGATGGTGTCCAAAGTGTACTCTCTCGTCTGCATGATGCTCCCCTTCCTGTTGCTCAGAAAGGCCTTTTTCCCTCAGGCTGAAGAAAAGTGGTAAAGAAAGACGGCCAAACCATGGCACTCACCTCCATCCCAGCTGCGATCATCTCATGCATAAACCCATTTCCCAAATCATCTTCCGTGCTTGGTAAGCTCTCCAAGCCACGTGGCGGAACCTCCGGACGCTGCCTGGCCTCTGGCTGCAGCTGATCCTCTGCCACCACAGTGTCGATCCAGGCGTCGGCGCCATCCAGGAAGGAGAAGGAGTCCTCGACTTCCATAGATATCCGGCTCTCTTCAGGGTCCATTTCAGCTTCAACATTTGTTCCTAAAATACATGCAGGCAAAAAATTTTTTAAAAAAAATCAGTCCAGATTTCACGGTAGGGATCAGGTCCTTACTGAGTACAAATAAAGGCAATTCTCTACTTAAAACCACAATCAGACCCAAAATTTCTGCTTTTAAGTGAGACATTTGTTAAGTGAGTTCTGTCTCATTTTACCAACTTTCTTGCCACAGCTGTTAAGTGAATCACTGCAGTTAATAAGTTAGTAACCCGGTTGTTAAGTGTATCTGGGTTCCCCATTCACTTTGTTTGTCAGAAGGTCGCAAAAGGGGATGACATGATTTTGGGACACAGCAACAGTCATAAGTATGAACCAGTTGCCAAGTGTCTGAATTTTGATCACACGATCATGGGGATGCTACAAAGGCCATAAGTGTGAAAAATGTTCATAAGTCACTTTTTTCAGTGCCATTGTAACTTTGAATGGCCACTAAGTGAATTATTATAAGTCGAGGACTACCTGTATTACTTTGGCTTGAGTAACAAATTAAAATTAACATGTGCAAAGGAACGGTATAGGGGAGAAAATGAACCATAGCCAAGCATGATTTTAAAATATAGAGTCACCTGTTTCAAACTTGCAGGGCTGGGGATAAACCCCAGGTAGGCCCTGATTTACAGCCATTTGTTTAGTGACAATTCAAAGCTACTATGAAAACAATGATTTACAACTGGTCCTCACACTTATGGCCATCACAGCAATCCCTGGGTTATGTGATCAAAATTCAAGTACTCAGCAATGGGCATATATTTACAACAGCTGCAGCGTCCTGGGGGGGAGAGTAATCACATGATCGCCATTTCTTGATCTGCTTAACGACCATGTGATTCACCTAGCAATGGCAGCAATTCACTTAACATGTGAATGGCAAAAAAATTTTTTTTTATAAAAACTGGGTATGACTTAAAAACTGCCTTGCTTAGCATCAAAAATTCTGGTTTGAATTGTGGGTGTAAGTAGAGAACTACCTGTAGTTATATAAACAGGAAAAATCAAACTAAAGAATTTTCTACTGAGATAGTGAAATTGACTAGAAGGAATGTGCAATTGATTAGCTTAAAAGGTTACATTGGCTTCCTATTTGAAGGAGGTGGAAATTGCTGGGGCAACCCCCAAATACACTATCATTGTCCCAAAAGTGCTTTTTCATGAGGCAACTGGATTGTCTTGTTTTTCTTTGAAGACGTTTCACTTCTCACCCAAGAAGCTTCTTCAGCTCGGACTGGATGGTGGGGAATGGGAGGATTTATACTCCTTGCAGACAGCTGGTCATTTGCAGTCTTTTAGAGAGCTGTTGAGGGCACTTGGATGTTTATCTGTGTCCTCAGGATCCTCAACCACTTTCTAAAAGGATGCAAATGACCAGCTGTCTGCAAGGAGTATAAATCCTTCCATCCCCCACCATCCAGTCAGAGCTGAAGAAGCTTCTTGGATGACGTTATATCTTCCGGTTCTTTAGACATTGAATGAGGCAGTTTATTAACTCAGAACAGAAGTAGCCCTAAAGGCTGCTGCACAGCTATTTATACAGTTAGCCTCTAGGTGGCAACCAATAGGTTTAAAGTAACAGTTTCCCGCCCCAAACCTCATTCTCAGCTTGGAGACAGCCGGTCTGGCTTTCAGTAACAGCAACTGTTAAACAATACAGCAATGTAGGTCAGACATTAAGCAAGTGATTTAAAATATTTGTGGCCCATACATTACAGATGAGAAGCAAAACTTCTTCAAAGAAAGATAGGAAAATCCAGTTGCCTCCTGAAAAAAAGCGCCTTTGGGACAACCCTGACCTGGAAGATGGAGAATCTCCACAGACATTTAGCTACACTACATCATTGGTATCCAGTCCTCTTGACTGGTGCTTTTGAAATCATTAGTGCTTGTCCTTGACAACTGTTCTATTATTATCAGTCACAGTTACAATATAAACATTAACACTTTTTTAGTTTTTATTAGTGTATAACATAAGATACAAGAATGCAAAGGAAAATAGTAGGAAAAGTAGGGGAGGGAAAAATGAAGGCGTTGACTTCCTTTGGTGCAGTAAAATAAAATAATAACATCAAACCTCAGCTTTTTACTTTTACATAATAGTATAAACTAGCCATTTCTATAACAACAAACCTATCTAGTTGGTAAAACCCCAAAATCAAAGTTTCATTTTTTTCCACCTCAAGCACAAAATCCAGAAATGGTTTCCAAGTAGAAAGAAAAGTAATTGTGTTTTTTTCTTTGTTCAAATACAAACATTAACACTGACCTTC